GAAACCAAACCAATCAGAGCGCACGTGATCTGCTATTATCCCGGCGTGAATGCCGCCTATTCATCAAACTTCACAGACCTTGACTGGGAGTAGAGTGTGTGTGTGTGTGTGTGTGTGTGTGTGTGTGTGTGTGTGTGTGTGTGTGTGTGTGTGTGTGTGTGGAAGGCAGAAGTATAAACAGAGAAAGTCAAGGTCAGAGAGGGGAGTCGGTGGCAGAGAGGGGGAGACAGAGACGTTTGACCAGAGCAAATATAGTCTGTGATCTGCATCGGAATTAAAGGAATGACAGACAAGTGTGGAAGTTGTCTTTCCAATCGGCGCTAACCTTTCACAGACTGTAGCACTGAGCTCACAGACATTAAATGCACATTTTTATTATGAGCATTAAAAAATGTCCAGTAATAGACTTTTTTTTTTTTAGTTACATAAATTCGATTCGTTTGGTTTGCTGGTCTGTGCTGCAAAAGAAGCAAATAATACACATGGAGACAGACTGTGCAGAGGTTTGGCACCACCTGGTTGTTTGTACTGGAGCCAGTTTGAAGAGAATAGTCTCTTAACTCTTAGAGGCAGGAGTGCACAGTGATCCTTTACAAGCCTGAGACCACAGCTAACCACAGCTAACCACGGGCTAACATCAGCAAGCTGACCGACACTGTAGGTGCACAGCAGGAAGGTTATCATATAACCAAGTGCAGCAACTGAATTCACGATTAATTTCACCATGATATGGGGGGTCATTTATCACATGGTCCATCCATCCACTCATCATGGTCACAGGGGAAGCAGTTCAGGAGACGCCCAGATGCCCGAAGGTGTAGCAGCTCTACTCTGAGCTCAATCAGTTTTTTCTTTCATGAGCTGCCAGCGTTTGTCTCATTGCAGATCTTTGCAGAAGCTGCTTTAGCCTCAGGTTTTGCTAATCGTCATTTCTTTAACTCCTGGAGAGCGAGTTCAGTGCCGTCCTAACGTAACAGTCAGGAGTCTTCTGTTTGCAAATGGCCTCTTACATAAAAACTTGGCTCTAAAATTCAGTTTTAAGACACGATTGTAAAAACGTGTGCTATGCAGAAGTGCGTCTCACGTACTGTGCCGCTACAGCTGTGACAACGCAATCCACAGATTACCTTTAATGTACTTCAATAATCATGGCATATCGGTTTAATTTCCATCTGTTCATTTTCTAAGTAACTAAATGGATTTTTGGATGTAGATCTTTTATTTCACAGTAGAAATGAAGTAGTGGTGTGCTGGAGGTGGGTTGCAAAGTGGCTTGCAGAAAGCAGGTTGAAGCCACTGAGGGATCAGCTGATGTGGGTTTATCCACAGTCTGAAGTAACACTGTCTCATTTATTCAACACTACAAGTTTCAGTACTGATTATTTTTATGTGTCGAGCTTATTTTTATATTGTTAATGACAAGAAACATGTTTAGTGTTTTTTGGGGTTTTTTCGTTCCTTTTAAAGCTCAATTTCTGTTTTGTCAGTCAGTTTTTATCTGACTTGAATCCCAACACTGGGAAGAAACAGAAAATGTATTTTTGGGATTACCAGATGAAAAGCTGAGTGAAACTGGAGCTCCAGCTCTGATCTAACTGCCATAACAGCCTCGTCTGTTCCAAAGCTTAACTCCTGAAATCCAGCTCTTTAGAAATAAATCAATACGAGGACTGAGACGTGGTTGGGAAGGATAAAAAGATTCATCTCTGATCATTTTTGTTTGCTTACATGTTTTGGTATGCGTATCCAGTGGGCTGCATTCATTCTGCGCTCAAAAGCAAACATTAGAAATACTGTTTGTTTAATAAGAACTCTGATTTGTTTTCCTACAGCTCAGATGTTGAAGGGCTCGCGCTGACAGACGGTGGAAGGCAGCTCAGCAGCTGCATGCTGTTCTCCAGGCACACTGATGGATGTATCCATCGAACGGAAACACCTCAAGCCCTTTAACGACTAAATCCATCTGTTTCTTTTCTCTCAATCTCAGGACCTGGCGGCCTTGGTGGCCAACGGCACGGTGACCAGCAAGCCTCCCGTCACTTTACGGTTGGTCATCCCAGCGAGCCAGTGCGGTTCCCTCATCGGCAAAGGCGGGTCTAAGATCAAGGAGATCAGAGAGGTGAGCCGCTCGACGTAAAATCGGGCATTGCAGGAACGTTTTCCACTTTCAAAGAAGACATCAAACCAGATATGTGCTAATTAACCTGATGTTCTGACCCAATGAAAAGCTTTACCGACAGGTTATGCCATCATTTTTATCTTTAACTCGGTTTCCCTGAGTCTTATTTTGAAAGAAATATTTACACGTTACCATAGCGACCAGAGAGCATTCTGGCTGTGTAAAGTTTATCATCACAACAGCTAAATTGCTAACAACTAGAAGTTATGTTACTAAGGTGATAGGCTTCACATCCTCCAACCTCAGTGGGACGACCTGAGAATGGAGGGTTTCGTTGTTACTCAGTAGGGGTGGGGGAAAAATCGATACTGTGTAGTATGGTGATATTTTGTTTGCTAATAATGTATCGATACAGGGACAGCAGAAATCGATATTTTGTTACAAAAAAGGTTTTTGTGCTCTGACTTCAGAGCATGTTGATCCTTTTTCTGAGCAAGAATCCTGACATTCCTTCACTGTCCAAATGTGTTTCACTTTTTTTTGGCAGCAATAAACATGACAGTTTACTTATTTTAATTTAAGACATGTTTTATTTTAATTAAGTTTAAAACTTTTTTATTTAAAATTATATTTTGTTTTAATTTACTTTCAAATTCTTCAGTTGCTGAAGGGGCTGCATAGTTTTCATAAACTGCATAGTTCAGAATAGCTATAATTGTACCAGATGGTTGATTCAGTTAAGTTGGACTAGACTGTAATACAAACCGTTCAGTTTGTCAACAATAAAACTGAAATGAGAGAAAGACTGAGTGTGAGACTTTGATATTAGAGAAAATGAATATTGATAAAGTTTACCTTTATGTACAGAATCTGAATATCGCAAAATATTCGTTAAGTATTGTGATAATATCGTATCGTGGGATGTATGGTGATTCCCACCTCTATTACTCAGCTGTTGCTTATTCATGAGTTAAAATCTTTGGGAGAATTTATCAAGAGCACAGGCGGTGGTGAAAAAAAGCTTTTTAAAAATCACATTTTGGGTAAAAGTCAGAGAGCTTAGCTTTAAAAAAAAAAATCAGATCTGACGCTGTAGATGCAGGTGTTTTTGTCACAGTTAACATTTAATTATTGTTACATAACGCTATAAAGTAACTGCTGGAATCAGCACCTGGAGTCATTACCAACATGTTTGCAGAGTGAGAGTTGTTTCCTGAAGGAGGAAAAGCTCGCTCGCAAGCTAGTGCTCGATGAACAAGAGTGAAAGACATAAACAACTTAAATATTGACTCCTGCTTCTGGACAAAAAAAAAAATACACACTTTATTTTAGATTTTTAAAAATCCATATACACTGTGGGAGCATAAGTACTGGGCCACCGACACACGAGGCCTACAGGAGCTGCTGGCCATGGAAAGCCACTGTGAAGCTCCCAGCCTGCAGTTTCTGTGCTGATGTTCATGCCAGAGAAGGTTTGACTCTCCAAGTCAACATAAGCGTGTCCTGTAGTGAGATGAAGGGCTTGGTTGGTGCCTCACGTCAGGTCCGGTGTCATTTACACGTCTGACGACACAGAACAGAGCCATGAACCTTTTGTGGCTGCAGCTCAGGAGGTTGGTGGTTCTGTCCCTGTCTGCTGCAGTCTGATTGGCTAATATCCTTTAGCAAGATACTCCTGAAATTCAGATAAATTATCTCCAGTGAAATGGTGAATGCCTGAAAGTTGCTCATGGTGCTCTACTCACAGAACGCTATTTTATTCTAATCAAAACTTGTGAAGATACAAAAAACAAAACTACATCTGATGATAAAGATATCCTTAACAAAAATATTTACCCAGTAAAATTTGCATTTTTGAGCTCTAAAAGCCCCGTTCAGTCTGTCCCCCATGACCCCAGATGTCAGAGAGAGGGAGCTGTTGAGTCTTGTCCACGCTTGCACCGGCGTGGAACTGACTCGCTGTCTCTAATGGTCTGTTGGAAATTTAACCAGCAGAAAGTTAATCTGCATTTTACTGAGCAGAAGCTGTTTGGGCTTGTCTGGCAGAGCAGACCCTGTTTGTAACAGGCTTTAATGGGCAGCTCTGTTTACAACCTGGGCACAGTGGAGAGAATGCAAATGAATGTTATTTTAGTATACCGCGACTGGCTTCTGTACAAGTTTGACTCAAAGGTCATAAACATCAATCGCAGCAGACGGGAAGACTCACACATGAGCTCCCATATTTAGATGCTAACTTTGACCCCGACTGGATGCTTGTCAGACGGAAACCTTGTGGAATAAATCAAAAGTGTTCGTGGACAAAAGCAGGTCACCAAAGTTTTCTTTTTGATATGTAAAATACAAGGACCAGGCAATAATGTGAACACATACACAGTGTGAAACAAGACCTTGAAAACTTCACAAAGGCTTCAGCGTGGATGTTGGGTCGCACATCTGACAGCATCCACCGCAGCATGAGCCAGCTAATTAAGGGGAAACGGTAAATGGCCTGTATTTGTACAGTGCTTTACTAGATCTGAATTCCACAAGCGCTGAAACTTTTATTATTTTGCTCTGGCTTTCTTACTAAATATCCTGAAACTACCACTTTGAATATTCTTTGCTTAACTTTGAGTGTGAACTTCATGTCTATTAATATACAATCTGACACGTGACCTCCTGAGTTGTCAAAAAACACTTTTCGGTGCCTCACGTGCAACTTTTAGCATCTCTCTGCTTATATTTTTAGGGTACAGAATCACTGCTGTGTGTTTCTTTGTGTGTACAGACAACAGGTGCGCAGGTTCAGGTGGCAGGTGACCTCCTCCCCAACTCCACAGAGAGAGAAGTGACGATATCAGGGAGCCAGGACGCCATCATCCAGTGTGTTAAACTCATCTGCACTGTAATCCTCGAGGTACGTGAGTGAGGCCAAACAGGAAAACTACAGAGTGAAATTAACGAGAAAGTACTGTAGAAAATGTTCAAATGCCTGGTTTCCACAAAGCTGTGAAGTTTGCCGTGAAGCCTGTGTGGAAACTCCAACAGCTGCAGTTCCGCTAAAGGCCACTTGGGGGTGGCTCCAGCAGTGAGTCAGTCCCCATAGACTCCTGTGTTAAAACTTTACAGCAGAAATAAACATGTTTACAACCTGGTACAAAAACCATTTTGGTCTCTATGGAGATTTTCCCTCTTCATTACATCATTAGGGGCGTGGCCTCTCTGACTAAGAGGTGAATGGCGACACAGGCGGTCATAGCTGCTAGCTGTCTGCTAGGCTTCAAGCGAACGTGTTTGTGGAGCCTTTTAGAGGATTTTTATTGTAATTATCTGACCAATGATATGGCTGCTGTGGGGCTAGTTGTATTAACAGATGGTCCAAAAAGTCTGACCTCCTTCTAGGGTTTTATATTTTTACATGGTGCCTGTGTTTGTGTGAGGGAAGCATGCAGTCTGTTGATGTTGCTTGCTAACCTGATGACTTAGCAGACCCTAAAAAACCTTTTATCTGCAGAGAAATGAAATGCAAGGTGTGAAAAAAGCAAGGCGTTAAAGGTGTTTGAAGCAGTGATGAACCTTCTGGCTCCATTAAAAATGATATTACGTTAGCTAAAATGCTAACATTGAGGTTTTAAAATGCTAGTTGGTGACATCAGAGTGTCTCCATTCTTTGCATACAGTCTGTGGCTAATGCAGGTTCATCACTGCCTCAAACACCTTTAACGCTGCTTTTTCAGCATTCCTGTTTTCACACATTGCAGCTGCTTTGGTGCACATTTCTCCTCAGTGCAAGTTTTTGTTTTTTGGACGTGTGCATTATCTGGTGGGTGGTTGCTATGACAACAGCCTTATGTGCCTCCATCCTTTTCTAAGCTAACTTTTACACCTTAATAATTAGTCAAAAAGTCTGACATCATCTTACGTGATTAGTTCAAGGCTTTCTCTTCGTATCAGTATTTCTAGATTTGTCATTTTGTGACACGAGCATCATCGCCATCCTTCACTGATCTATTATTACCATCACACTCGTGAAAGCTTTTTTCTCCATCTGATGCAACCTGATGCTAATTTTGAAATGACAGAGCTGCAGGAGTGATTCTTTTAAAAATTCATGCAGCGGCTCTGTAATGATGCACACTCGTCTGCGCTTTATTACCACTACATTACATTTTTGTGAGATTTCGTGCTCCTTTCCAATAATCTTCAAAATGGAAACAGTAAAATTTATAATTCATGATTGTATTATAATTAATCAGAGACTGCAGTCATTAAGGAGAGCACGTCTCGGAGATTAGAAGCAGAAACAGAGAAATCAAAGGCTTCAGGAGCTCATTGGTATTCCAAGCACCTTAATCTGCGATGAGAAAGGAGGAACGGAAAAGAAATAAAAATGCTGACCTTAGTTAAACTTCATTCACTTTCAAGTGCTGGTACTTACTGTCAATGTGAAGTTCCATGCCTCCATTCACACTTTGTTTGATCTCAGTAAGAAATCTTTTGATGTACTTTTGGTCCCCTGATGGACTGTTGTCTCCCTGCCGTCCACCCAGTGCATGCTTGGAAGTGATGCATCCAAACAGCACGTTGGGATAAATGAATGAGAAATCTATTTTTCTGTGAAGTCCTGTTGTCGGACGTAGAGTAGAGGTTTCTGCCGCAGCTTCACTTTATTCCACGGTGAATTTTGAGGGAAGGAAATCTCAGAACTCAACAAAAATGCCAATGTAGACGGAAAAAAGTTGATTCTGGACGTAGTGTTTTCAGTCTCAGCTGACTGCAGGTTTTCCCAACCTTATATAAAGTACCTGAACTGCTCAGACACCCAGCTCTCAGCCAAAGCGCCCATGTCCCCAACTTTAAGCCTTAATACATTTAAAAATAAAAAAAAGACAAACTATCCCACGTACAGTTGTTATTAGGGATGCACCGATACCGATACTGGTATCGGGTATCGGGGCCAATACTGTATAATGTGTGTGTACTCATACTCGTAAAAGTTAACCGATACCATGAACCGATACCAACTTATTTCATTAATCAGAGGGTGGCTTGTCATTTCTGTTGTAGTTTTTTAGATTGGCCACTAGGGGGCCAATTATTATTTTATTTATTATTTATTTTAATAATTATTTTTTTTGTTTGTTTACAATATGGACACTCTGCAATAATTTAAAAGTTTATTTTATTCACAAACCTAATTTGTATTTGTTTTATTCCAAACAGAAGTGTTTATTTATTATTCTGAAAGCTCGAGACAATGCCAATAGTTCAGTGATATTTTGTAAAATTACAATGTGGAGACTCTGCAATAATTTAACAGAAATGCTTATTTTTCACTTGAAATTTTTTTGTTGTCATTTTTATTACGATTTTATTTTTTATCGGCAGGGAATATAATAAAACCTGTCTTCCAATTAATTGTATTTGTGTGTGTGTGGTAGAAGTATCGGTTTTTGTACTCTGTATCGGCAAGTACTCAGATCCAAGTATCGGTATCGTATCGGTTTGAAAAAAATTGGTATCGTTGCATCCCTAGTTGTTATATTATAAAGTGTAAATATGTTTGTTTGTTTTTTTTCTGGTGAAATTTTGGAGGCACGAGAGTCAGCACTGCACACTCAAGTGGACATTACAGGAACTGCAGTTTTTTGTACTTTTAAACTTCCTTTTTTTTCTTTTTATTGTAAAAACTCAATCCACGAAGACGAAATATATGTATCACTTAAACTGTAAAGTAATAGTGGAGTACTGAGGTAGGAACAATATCCTCATATATTAAAGCATTAATCAGCATTGCGTCATTATAATGGCAGGTTATCACATTGTTACCAGGATATATTTCTGTCTGCCTCACAGACGTGTGTGTTTGCACATTTTTACCCCAGTTCTAGCCTCTTGTTATCCACTTACTTATATTTGAGGGCTGTTGATACTAGGGCTGCCACGATTTGTCGACAAAATCGTCGACGACTAAGTCAATAGTCGACGCATCGTTTTAACCCTGTAAGATCCTGAAAGACGCTGGAATAAGTAGTAGGATTTAACAGGGTAATAACAGACTGAAACAGAAGATGGCAGCACTGCATGTACTGATGACGAAGTGGTACAGTCATCTCGGTAAGCTAATTGGCTAGTTAGCTGCTAACATTAGCGTAAACGGCGAGCTACTTACTCATATTGACAGCTGTAAATGTTACGTTACAGTACTGCAAAAAAAATGTTCGTCTTCAGTGGACTTTGTCACCAACAACTTGCACACATTGGCACACAATTTGGGGGCCTTTCGGTTTGTTGCTACAATCTGCAAATTTCACTAAAAGTTTAATAAACTATCATGTTGTCTTTATTTTTAGTTAGCACATACCTTAAACACTTCAACCTGTAAGCTAATGATAGTTTTAAAAGATTAGATGCATGCTGGTGCAATAAGCTGTAGTTTTACGTCCAATGGATGATGATCTGATTAGTCGATTAGACTAGTCGACTATCAAAATAATCGTTTGTGGCAGCCCTAGTTGATACAAGAGTGGGATGGATATTGGACATTACCTTCTTGTATCTTAAAGCCCTACTATTACCATAAAAACTATAAGAGAAAGCATTTCTAAAATGCACACATAAATGAAAAATATAAAAGCTGAAGTAAATATGAATTATCAACACGCAGGGCCCAGGATGTGAGAAATCCCAGTCTCTGGGGTCCACCGGTCACCCCACCTACCTCTGTGCAAACTGTGAATAAGTGTGAGGGGGAATCCTGTTCTGCAAAGCCAAATGTTTTTCCGAATATGTGAAAACTTGTTTCATTTGATTCCGTATTCATATTTAAATTGAGCGCTGACAGGTCATCATTAAGAATCTCATCAGCTAAAACAATTAGCCTAGACTCTCTGGGTGTATCCTACAACCAGAACTTAATGAGCTGCAGTGGATCGCAGCATGATGAATATGACATTAGTAGAGTGCCTGTGTAATAAAAGCGCTCAGCATGCAGCAGGAAAAGCCGTGATTCCCTCATTTCAACCGCATCAGCAATTCAGACAAACACAACAATCCAGCAGCACAGCAAGTTTAAATAAGAGCTGCTTGGCTTTTATGTTGTTGTGCAGCAATAATGAAATAAACTCATGTTGCTGCTTAATGTCCCTTTGATGTCTCCCTGTTGCACCAAACACACAATAACATAAAAATGGATGAAACATTAGCCGACACTTGATGATCAGTCACTCAGAGAATGTACTGTACAGGCTTAATAGGCTTAATATCCCAAATTAAATATAAAGCACGGTTGTTTCCCAGCCTCTGAAGTATTGAACCCCCTTCCGCTTCTATAAAAAATGATCGTTTTCAGCAGCAAAACTTATCACATATTCAATGATGAGCTTTATGCATTTAAAGATCTCGTAGTCTTTTTAACTAAATCCTTCCAAGTTGGAAAAACATAAAAGCATATCTGTAATGTTAGAGGTTCTGCTGTTCTCCTGCAGCCAGAACTGCCTCTCACTATTTTTTGGGTGACCACGGATGGTGCAATCAATCCATTTAGTGCCCTTACTATATAACCACTGATGGTTTTTGCAGTCCAAAGGTGTTTGTTGTCATATTTTTAGCCACTAGCATTTTTAGCATTTACTCATTTAGGTGTCAGGTCTCAGCAGACAGATTATGGCATCAGTGAAGTGGACCTACCACTCCTATGTCGTCACTACTGTGTATTAATGTGTATGTCCAAAAACAAAAAATCCCCCACTGCAAGCTCGGGTCCTCAGCCAGAGGCCTGGGAGCTTGAGGGTCCTGCGCTCTACTGGACAGAGATCTCGGATGTTGTTCCTGGGATCTGCGGGAGCCACTCCCCTCGCTTTGGGGTCACTGCACCGAGTGCTGCGATTACAACGGGTACCTTCACCCTCCGCATCTTCTTGAGCTGCTCTTTCAGCCATTGGTACTTCCCAGGTTTCTCATGTTCCTTCTTCTTGATGTTGCTATCACTCGGTATCGCTACATCTATCACTACGGGTCTCTTCCTCTGCTGGTTCACAACTACACTACAATTCGTCTTGTGATTGGAAGGTTGCCGGTTCGAGCCCCGGCTCGTACAGTCTTGGTCATTGTGTCCTTGGGCAAGACACTTCCCCTACCGCCTACTGGTGTTGGC